GTTTTTTCCAATTACATGTAAAGATAGTTTTCAACATTCATTTTTGTAAAATTCTGAGTTCCAAATTTTTCTCCCTCCCTTCATTCCTCCCTCCCCAAGATAGTCTGATATAGGTTATACATGTACAATCGTGTTAAACATATTTCCACATTAGTCATGTTATGAAAGAAGAATCAGAACAAAAAGGGGAAAAGCACAAAAAAGAAAAAAATACTAAAACAACAAAAAAGTGAAAATAATATACTTCAATCTGCATTCAGTCTCCATAGTTCTTTCTCTGGATGTGGTTAGCATTTTCCATCATGAGTCTTTTGGAATTGTCTTGGATCTTTGTATTGCTGAGAAGAGCTAAGTCTATAATAGTTAATCATCGCACAATGTTGCTATTGCCATGGTTCTGCTCACTTCACTCAGCATCAGTTCATGTAAGTCTTTCCAGGTTTTTCTGAAACTTGCCCACTTATCACTTCTTACAGCACAATAGCATTTCATTACATTCATATACCACCACTTGTTCAGTCATTCCCCAGTTAAAGGGCATCCCCTTAATTTCTAATTCTTTACCACCACAAAAAGAGCTGCTATAAATATTTTTGCACATGGGGGTCCTTTTCTTTTTTTTTTATGATCTCTTTGGGATACAGACCTAGTAGTGGTATTGCTGGATCAAAGGGTATGCACAGTTTGGTTGCTCTTTGGGCATAGTTCCAAATTGCTCTCCAGAATTGCTGGATCAGTTCACAACTCCACTAACAATGCATTAGTGTTCCAATTTTCCACCATTTTCTCCAGCATTTATCATTTTCCTTTTTCATCATATTATAGCCAATCTGATAGGTGTAAGGTGGTACCTCAGAGTTATTTTAATTTGCATTTCTCTAACCAACAGTGATTTAGAACATTTTTTCATATGATTATAGATAGCTTTAATTTCTTCCTCTGAAAACTGCTTATTCATATCCTTTGACCATTTATCAGTTGGGGAATGACTTGTATTCTTATAAATTTGACTTAGTTTCCTAAATATTTGAGAAGTGAGGCCTTTATCACAAACACTGGCTGTAAAAAATTGTTTCCCAACTTTCTGCTTTCCTTCTAATCTTCATTGCATTGGTTTTGTTTATGCAAAACCTTTTAAATTTAATGTAACCAAAATTATCCATTTTGCATTTCATACTGTTCTCTATCTCCTATTTGGTTATAAGGTCTTCCCTTCTCCATAGATCTGACAGGTAAATTATTTCTTGTTCTCCTAATTTGCTTATAGTAGCACTCTTTAAATCATGTGCCCATTTTGATTTCATCTTGGTAAAGGGTGTGAGATGTTCGTCTATGACTAGTTTCTGCCATACTATTTTCCAGTTTTCCCAAGCAGTTTTTATCAATTAGTGAGATTTTATCACAGCTGCTGGAGTCTTTGGGTTTATTAAACAGTAGATTACTATAGTCATTGACTACTATGTCTTGTGCACCTAACCTATTCCACTGAGCCACCACTCTATTTCTTAGCCAGTACCTGATAGTTTTGATGATTGCTGCTTTATAATATAGTTTTAGATTTGGTATGGCTAAGCCACCTTCCTTTACTTTTTTTTGAGGAATTAATTTCTTGATGAGGGTGAAAGAGGAAAATGTAAAAGCTGGCTTGAAGCTTAATATAAAAAAAAACCCCTAAGATCACAGCAACTGATCCCATCACTTCCTGACAAACAGAGGGAGAAGAAATGAAAGCAGTGCCAGATTTTATATTCTTGGGCTCAAAGATCACTCAAGGTGGTGACTGCAGCCATGAAAATAAAAGATGCTTGTTCCCTGGAAGGAAAGATATGGCAAATCTCTGGACAACATACTAAAAAGCAGAGACATCATCTTGTCAACAAAAATCTGTATAGTCAAAGCTATAATTTTTCCAGTAGCAATGTATAGCTGTGAGAGTTGTACTACAATGAAAGCTGAGCATCACAGAATCAACACTTTCAAATTGTGGTACTGTATAAGACTTTTGAGAATCCCTTAGACAGCAAGGAGATCAAATCAGTCAATACTTAAAGAATTTAATTCAGACTACTTACTGGAAAGACAAATACTGAAACTGAATCTTAAATACTTTGGCTACATGTTGAAAAGACAGGATTCATTGGAAAAGACCTGATGTTGGGAAAGATTGAAGGCAAAAGGAGAAAGGTATGGCAGAGGATGAGGTGGATGAACAGTGTCATGGAAGCAACAAAAATGAGCTGGGACAGATTTCGGGAGATAGTGAAGGACAGCAGGGCCTGGCATCACAAAGAAGGGGTCAAGAAGAGTTGGATATGACTGAATAAATGAACAACAACAAATGTGACAGAACTGTGCTCAGTACTGAAGTTACAAAGAAAGGCAAAAAAACCTGACAACAACAAAAACTGTCCTGCATTTAAGTTGCTCACAATCTAATTGGAGGAAAAAGATAAATACGGGATAATATAGAGATTGTCTTGAAGGGAAGGCACTAAGCATTAAGGAAGACTAGGAAAGACTTCTTTCAAAACATGGACTGTTAGCTGAGACTTGAAGGAAGCCAGAACTCCCCACTTTCCATTCTGCCCTTCCCCATCCTTTGGTATCCTTCTGCTTCCCAGAGCAGGGGCAGAAATTTAAAGCCCAGAAAAATCACCCTCCTCCCTCTCCAGTCCAACTTTCTTTATATCCTTAGGCCTCCTTCCTTTTGTGAGTTTCTAATTCTTGTTTACAGTGGGATACTATTGCACCTTTTACTATTCCACTCAATCACAACCTATTCCAATCCATTCCATTCCTCTCCATAGAAGCAAGTAGGTGGCTCAGTGGATAGAGCCCTGGGTCTGGAGTTAGGAAGACCTGAGTTCAAATCTGCCTCAGACATTCACTAACTGTGTGACCCCAGGCAAGTCACTTAACCTCTGTTTGCCTTAATCTAACTGGAGAAAGAAATGGCAAACCACTCCATTGTCCTTGCCAAGAAAACCCCATACAGGGTTGGGTAGAGGGGGTCATGATTGAACAACAACAAGCCCCTCCATAATCTACTCTTCCTCTTATCATTACCATTTTCCCCCAACCCCTCAGAGGAAGAAGTTCTGGCTCTGAGCAACAGATTGATCCACCTTTCACAGAAAGAGCCCAACTCCAGTTTCCCATAGGCTTCATGTTCATTCTACTTGCTAAACAGAACAAGCAGCTCGTCATGACATGTTTTAGGACTATAGGACAGTCTTAAGTTTAAGTCCTAGAACAGATTCTACAAGTACACACACAAATGCCTAAATAATACTGCCTACTTGCAGCTTTCCATGTAATTAGACGAGATCTTTTCTTTTTTTTTTAAGTCATGTCTGACTTTTCATGACCGCATTTGGGGTTTCTGGGCAGAGATACTGGAATGGCTTGCCATTTTCTTCTCTAGCTCACTTTACAGATGAGGAAACTGAGGCAAACAGGGTGAAGTGACTTGCTCAGGGTCCCACTGCTAGTGTCTGTGGCTGGACTTGAACTCAGAAAGAGGAGGCTCCAGGCCCAGCACTCTATCTAAAGTGGATACCACCTGGCTGTCCCACAGGGCAAGATCACAGCACAAATAATCCCAAACAAGCAAATGCTTGGAAAGTATTTGGCCTTAGGATTGTTACTTTGATGGCTCTTCCATCTCACCTATCTGTATGCTACCTGCAATGGTGTAAATCACAACTCATCCACGTCCACCTTTCTTGCCACTATTGTGGATGATTTCCTATAATCCGCCACAGGAGGTCCCACCCAACGGAGCATAGCAAAGCTGCTAATGAGCTACACCTATTGAAGTGACCCAACTATTTTTTTTTAGTAATACATTTCTCCAATTCTAATGAATCTGATTAGGATTCATTATGATAAGTAACAGTAAGCACAGCCCGATGCTCAAGACCAAGGATTCTGAAGTTAAAAGACAAATCTGCATTTCTTACATCTGCATCTATATATTCACACACATACAATGTATACATATACATATTAGACCTCAGTTCAAATTTGTCCTCAGACACTAGCTGTGTGACTCTGGCAAGTTACTCTGCTTCGATTTTCTCATCCGTAAAATGGGGATAATAATAGCTGCTTACCTCCCAGGGTTGTTGTGAAGATCAAATGAGATTAATGATAGTAAAATCCTTAGCAAATTGTAAGCTTCATATGAACGTTAGCTATTATTTTTGTTGTTAATATATGAATGTGACAGCAAATTTGTCTCACTAAATTCTCATATTTTAGTGCTAGGACATAAGATTAGGAGCAGATATGTATTCTAGTTCAGGCCCTGCTTCTGCCTCTAACTCTCTGGACAAATCTTTTCCCCTCTGTAGACTTCATTTCCCTCATCTGTACATGGAAGATGTTGGTCTAGACAGTCTAAATTATCTTCTGACTTTGACATTTTGAGGTCTGATGACTGTTCCAATTCTTTCCCTTTAATGTGGGCTTTAAAAATGGTCCTGACCACAGGCTTCCCCAGATGAGGAAATAAAACCTGAAGATCGGTAGTGATGTAAGCCAAAAGCAATAAAGGGTGTGTGTGGAGGTGGGCGTTGTCCCTGTACCCAGTGAAACCCTTTACCTAAGCCCAGGATCTTAGGAGATAGCGCCTCACCTGTGATCCTTACCCTCCCCACCACCCCGTACACCCACAAGCTCTGGGATGTTCCAGTAAGATCACAGATGTAGAGCTGAAATCAACTTTAGACATCATCTGGCCCAACTCCCTCATTATACAGACAAGAAAACTGAAGCCCAGACAGTTTAAGTGACGTGCGCCCCGTCTCACGGGCTGGCAAAGTTAGTTCTTGAACTCCAAACCAATATTCTCTGCACTGAATCAAGCTACCTTCCCAAGTCACCAAGCAAGGCGAAGGAAGACGAAGTGGTGGCCTGTTCTGCTGATTCATCCTTGGACTGCAATATTCAGCAGCTATTTCCTCCAGTGGAGAAGGGGTGTTGCGGGGGTACTGGGCGGAGGGGGGGAGAGAGGTGCGGCCTGGGAGCTGACTCACTCCCTGGAGCTCCCTCCCAGCTGCGTATTCATACCGAGTCAGGCTCTGCCCCGGCACTTCTACTTCGCCCGATACCCGGGAGAGTGGAGCGAAGTGGGAGGAACGGAAAGTGTTGAGAAACCCAAGCTCGGAAAATTTCTCTTTGGAACAGCATCGGAAAAGAAAGCCCAGGAGAAAGAGTAAATTGTAAGGCTGTTTACCGGAAGAACCCAGGGCGGAGAGCTCTTCTGGGGCTCGGGTGCCAGAACTTCTTTCCTGCACTCCCCTCTGGATGCTGAATGGTACACTCCGAGCTGGAGTTAAAGTCTGGGTGCAGGGCAACCCTCTGAGGGGGGCTGGCAGGATGGGGTTGCGAGCCGGCGGCAGCCACGGGCGAGAGGGCCCAGAGGTCGGGGCAGAGGGGCAGGATCGGGCCTCTGAATCGGAGGATCGCAGCATACATTCTGGCAACATCGCTACGGTGCACAATGTTCCCCTGAGCGTCCTCATCCGACCGCTGCCCTCCGTGCTGGACCCGGACAAGGTGAAGAGCCTCATGGACACCATCCAGGTAAGGTCTTTCAGGGTGGGACAAGGGGAGGGGCTGGGAGTAGAGAGAGCCCTACATTTGGGGCCCAGAGATCTGAGTACGTTTCCCCGCTCTGCAATTTTCAGTGTCATCTTGGGCAAGTCACTCCCTTTCTTCGGGCCTCGACATCCTCTCTATAAAACGGGAACGTTGTACTAGATAACCTTTGAGGCCCTTTCTAGCACTAACATCCTATGTTCTGTGTCTTAGACTGTTTTCTGACTCCGACATTCTATGTTCTACGTTCTGTATTCCAAGGTTCCTCCAGGTGTAAGGTCACACGATTCAATCATTTTCTCCATCTATGTCCTTTTCTCTCTCTCCATGACTTTTCCCCTCCCTAGGAGGATCCAGATCGGGTGCCGCCTATTGATGTCCTGTGGATTAAAGGAGCCCAAGGAGGGAACTACTTCTACTCCTTCGGGGGATGCCACAGATATGCAGCCTACCGGGAGCTGAACAAGGAAACAATCCCTGCCAAGCTGGTCCAGTCTACCATATCTGACCTTCGTGTGTACCTGGGTTCTTCGACGCCAGACCTGCAGTAGTAGCACCCTTAGCCTTTGGGACTCACTGAAAATGCCTCTTCATGTGACCATTGAAGAGGCCAGGAGAAGCCAAGTAACACTGGTCCTTACCAGGGCCATGCAGAGTACAAAAGGTGTGGACTTCTGACCCAGAACAGCTCCTTTGAGAGACAGAATATGACTGACTTGTGTAGTATTTCTTTAAGGCTAGAGATGAGGGATAGGGAATCTCCCTGTGATTTGTTTAATAACTTTAGACTACCATGTCTTGGACCTGAAGAGTGTTGGCCCAGGGCTTAAGAATAGAAGGGAGCTAGCACCCTGCCCCACCCCATAGTGGGGTGTGAGGTGATTGTAATGGAAAGAGGAGTGAACTTGGAATTAGAACCTCCCTTGTTCAGATCCCAACTCTGACACTACCTGTGTGAACAGGTTATAGTTTCCTCTTTTATAAGGAGGTGGTTGAACTAAAGTCCCTTCGAAAGTCTTCTCACTCCAGAGCCTATCCTTCTGAGATGATGTGGTAAGGGAACAGAATGGGGGACCCTTTCTGGAGGGGAAGGGTGAAAGAAGTGATGGGGAACTGAACGTCCCTCTTCCAACTTCCTGGGTGGAGGGGCCACCTCCTGTTCATAGCCGGCTAAGGGACCCGTGTCTAACTCTCACTCTGTCTCCCCATGGAAGCATGAATCCTTACTACCTTTTCTTTTTGAGGAAGAAGATTCATATACAGCAATAACAAATGAAAGCCCCAATAAATTCTGATTTAGTGAAAAGTGCTTTAGGCTTGGAGTAAGGTGGGACCATGGGCAAGTCACTTCTCTTCTGTGTTTCTGTTTTCTCATCTATAAATTGTGGTAAGAATACTTGTACTAACCTACCTCTCAGGGTTGTTGTGAGGAAAATTATATTTAAACTTCAAAGTGCTAAAGAGATGGGAGATGTTGTGTTTTAATTTTCATGATGTGGTTAAGATGGAAAGTCTGAGGACCAGCTGCTCTCTGCTATTAACCTTTTATATTTCTTGTTCCTCAGATGATTTTGCAAGTGGATAAAATGACTAATTTTTGTGATTTAATAAATGTATTCATATATAAGTACATTTTCTGTAGAATTACTGAAAATATTTTGGGTTAACTCCAGTAGCAGAAAATATATATGTATATATATGTATATGTATATATGTATATATATATATAAAAATATATATGTATATATGTATATGTATATATGTATATATATATGTATATGTGTGTGTGTATATATGTGTGTATATATGTATGTATGTATATATATATATATATATATATATCAAATCAATATTATTGTTAAGTTTCAGAATAGTTGCTGATCTACATTGATTGAGGAAGTTCCTTTACTGGGAGTTTCCCAAAACCAATGAAATCATAGGTCTGGGCCATATTATTATTGTTGTAGTTGTGGTGGCAGTGGTGGTGGTGGTGGTGGTGGTGGTGATAATGATGAGGAGGAGGAGGAGGAGGATGGAGTGGTGGTGTGGTGAAGGAAGGAACAAGAACAGATGTGATGACTTTCTGTGAACTCCATACTTCAGAGTCTCTGAGACCTGTCTGATGCTGAAAAACAAAGTGAGAAGAAAGGTGCTCCTTGTCTCTCTGGGTGGTTCTTCCTAGTCAGATCCGCCTTTACTGAGCATATATGAGACCCTGTTCAGGTCTCTGATCTTCTGGGAAATAAAATGGATGGGAGGCAGAGCCCCCTGACCTTCTTGCCTTGGAGCATGGTGGAGAGAGCAGGATGGAGGGGAGAGGGTGCCTGGTGTCCCTGGCAGTCTCCCAGGCTTCTTGTGCTGCCCTTACAAGGGGCCACCAGGAGATGGCACTGTGATCCTACCAGCCCCAGCTATATGCACTGGCAAGACCAGTCCAGTGTGGACTGGCTGGGGCTTTAAGACCCACTCCTTCTGTCCTTATGATACTAGTTAACCTCAAACTCCTAGGACCTCAGAACTGGGATGGATCTTAGGACACAGAACTGATATTGGGCTTCAACAATTCAATTCAGCAAAAAAAAAAAAAGAACAATTCAATTCAGCAAACACTTGTGAAGCGTCTCCTATAATAAATACAATTCCGAGGATGAGAACATGGAATGTTACAGCTCAAAGGAATCTTAGAGATAATATTTAAAAGAAGGAAAATGAGGCACTGGGAGGGGAAGCGGCTTTCCTAATGTCATAAAGTGAATTAGGGTCATAGGTTAGAGCTGGAAGAGACCTTTGATAGTGGCAGAACTCAGTCTGGAAGCCACACCTCCCAACACCCAGTGCAGTGCTCTTTCCACTCCACCCTCCGGCCTTATACCAGCACACCACAGACACATCCATATACACAATTGACAGCAAGTGTGTGGACCTACAGTGTTCCATGCACTGTGCTAGCCTTGGGGGACAAAAGTGAAGCAGTCCCTGCCCTCCAGGAGCTTACATTGCATCAACATGAATATGACAATGAGTGAGGTAATGAAATCTGATCATAAGCTACTTAAAAAGAAATGAATCTCACTACCTTCAGAATCGTGGAGCAGGGAAATGAAGGCTGAATTCAAGCCAGATGACATAGGTTTGAAACCTTCCTATGATACTTAGAAGCTATGTGACCTTGGGCAAGTCACTTATCTTGGCATCAGTTTACACATCTCTAAAATCAGAGGTTTGGACTAGTTTATCTCTAAGGCTTCCACTGGTTCTTTTAAAAAAATGTTTTGTTGATGTCTTTTTCTCTTTTTTCTTGTTTTTTTTTACATCATCGTCACTTCCTCCCCACTTCTCTTTCTCCTCCATAGAGACAGCCTACCTTCACCTGTCTACTCACTGCCACTATAACAAATAAGTATAGTCAAGCAAAATAAATCAGCACAATACCCTCATCTGAAAACGTCTGCCTCATTCTGTACCACTAGTGCACCACTTCTCTAACAAGAGTCTGGATCAGGCTTTACCATCAATCTTCTACCATCAGCATTAGCCACTTAATTAGTGCTGATGTCCCTTAAACATTTTTAATCTTATTTTTATTTATGCCTTCTGTTTTTTTCTCATTTCATTCATTTCTAAATATATCCCTCACTCATTTGTTACCCAGTGAATGCCTTTTGGTTCTAAATGAAAATTTTCTAATCCACTTAACCTCACCTAGCCTGTTTCTTCACTTGTGGTGTCGGGATAATAAAAATAGCTAGCATTTACATAGCACTTTAAGTTTCACAAAGCATTACATGTAGGTTGATCCTCTCAACAACCTTGTAAAGGAGGTATTATTTTTGTCTCTATTTTATAGATAGAAAAACTGAGAAAGAAGTTGTGACTTGCCCAGTCACACAGCTAGTGTCTGAGATAGGATTTGAACTCAGATCTTTCTAACTCCGAGTTCAACACTGTCCACAGCACCACCCAACTGCTTAATTGCAGAATCTGCACAAGGTAGGCAAAGTAGGAAGCCACCTAGGTAGGGTACAGTATACTCATAGGTACAAGGAAAGACACTTTTAACCATAATTTTTTATCCCATTTATACCTTTCTTCTTCATTTTACAGAGGAAGAAACTGAGGCCCAGAGAGAAGTTACTTGCTTAAAGTCAAAGCAAATTAGTAGTGTAACCAGGGTAAGAATTCATGCTTAATAAAATGGCTTTGTGGGGTTGTAGATAGACTATGGAGTTGGAGGACTTTGGAGAGGAAGGACTAGGTTCAGAACCAGGCTTTGCTATATACTACCTACCTGGGACTAAGTTTCCCCATTTGTAAAATGAGGGGAATGAACTAGGTGACCTCAAAGGCACCTTTAAATCCTATGTTCCTATAACTCCCAGGCCCCTACACAATGCTGCCTCATTAATTCCCCCCAAACCAGCTCTTCTGTCAGTCTGTCTGCCCCCTCCCCACCTGTCTCTCTTCCCCAGGCCTGACCCCTGATACAGCCTGACAGATGACCTCAGCTGCCACCAATCCATTCGTTCTGGTGCCTGGGGGAGGGGAGGAACAAAGGGAGCTTTGTGGAGGGTGGGGTCCCATCCCTTCACCTAGCTCAGGCTGCTGGGGTCCCAACTCCGGAACTCAGAGAGACTCTCCCACTGGACAAGCGTGTAATGTCTTCCAGGCCCATGGCTTAGGCTTTTAACTGGCAAGGAGATCATTATGTCTAGAATTCCATAATTGGCTTCTGACTTCTTAACATACCCTTCCCAAGATTGTCCCCAGTTCCAAGTTTGCTCCAACATGAGAGATATCAACAGGTAATCAAAAGAACACAGAGCTGGGCAAGAAGAGACCTGGGTTCTAGTCATAGGTCTGTCACTCACTAGTTGGGTCATTTTGAGTGGGAGGTTCTTTCCCCTCACCAGGCCTGAGTTTCCTCATCTGTAAAATGATAAGATTGGACTAGATCATCTCTAAGGTCATTTCCAGCTCTGATCTCTTATGTTCTAGCATCTTTTCCAGCTCTGATATCCAATAGCTCATTGATTTACCCTTATTCCTACCAGGAAGTCAAAGAGTGAATATCAAATTTTGAGCTAGAAGGAATCAGAAAGAACCTCCAATCTAAATACCACATTTTGTAGATGAGGAAACTAAGTTAAAGAGTGATTAGAGAACTTGACCAAGGTCACATAGATAGTGACAAGCTAGACTGGGATTGGCATGTAGGTCGAGGCTGAAGGAAATATTGACCTGGTAGAACAGAATCCAAGCTAATTTCCACCCTACTTCCCTACTCCCCAAGGCAGTATGATATGGGGAAGAGAAAGCCTCTCAGGTCAGAAGAGCTAGGTTCAAATCTCATTCCACCTCTCCTGCTCATTAACTATGTGGCCTTGGGCAAGTGTCTTAATCTCTCTAGTAATCAGTTTCCTCATGTGTGAAAGGAAAGTGGTGGACTAGGTGACCTTGAGGTCCCTTGCAGCTGTAAAGCCATGATCCTGTTGCCACCTTTGCTATGATGAGAACACTGGGACCCTTGCTGAGGAACCACAGCTCCCATCTTCTATTTCCTCTCCCTTCACACATTTTTTCAGACCCCACATAAACACAGTGTATGGGCCCCAACAGGTCCTAAGGCTTTCCCAGCACTAGCCTCATCAGTCCCCTGGCACCTGCTCTCAGTCCATGAATAGAGGATAAAATGGAAAGAGCAGTGGTCTTAGATTCAGGGGACCTGGGTTCTAGTTCATGCTCTTCTTCTAATTTACCATGGAACTTAAAATAAGTCACTTCTCCTCTCTGGGCCTCAGTTTCCCTATTTGTAAAATGTGGTATACAATCCATGTCCAGTCTATCTCACAGGGCTCTTGTAAGCATCAAATGAGATAATTCGTGTAAAGTATTTCATAGCCATCAAGTACTATAATTTTAAAATGTCAGGTATTATGGTAGTATCTTTAAAGTTACTGAATCTTGGAAGCATAGAATCATAGCTATAGATGTTACAACCATTAGTCCAAGAACAAGAAGGGATCCAATAAACAAGCCAGGCTGGGGCTGGACCTCAATGACCACAGAATCATAGACAGAGCTGAAAGGGATCTTAGAGGCCATATTGTCCAACCCCCTCATTTTGCAGATGAGGAAACAGGCACAGAGAAATTAAGTGATGATAAGGATCAAATAGCTAGCAAGTATCTAAGGGGGAATATGAATCTGGGTCTTTCTGATGCTAAATCCAGTGTCTATCCATTACACCATACTTTCTGTCTGGCTCAGTCCTTCATTTTACAGCTGCTACCCAGGTAGGGGATGTGACTTACCCACTGTCATATCTCAAGTTAACAACACTCTTAATAACCATTCCAAAGTCTAATATGAGCAAGCCTTTGTGCTTAGCACTGTCAAGGAGACAGAGAAGTTTAGGACTCAGCCCCTAACTTCAGTGAGCTCATGGTATAATGCAGGAGACAATAC